GGGGGGGGCGGGCGGGCAGGGCTTGGAAGAGAGTTTTTTAGTTTCTGTCTAGAATCATGGAGGAAGCAGCCTGAGCAAGGGGCTGGGATTTAAGGGCCCAGCCTCCCCCATCTCAAGGGGGGCTGAGGCATCATAGGCCTAGCCCTGTAACCGGATTACATCTATGCTGTGCTGTATCCTGGAAAAGCAATAAACTCCCTTTATTCTACTGGCTGGGGGGGTGGTCCATCTGTGCTGGGTTGTATCCTGGAGAAGCAATAAACTCCCTCTATTCTACTGGCTGCTGGAGTCTGTTCATGCCACTACGGGGTGCAGGAGGCGGGGGAACCCCGACGCGACGTCACACCCCTCAAGGATGTAGTTAAATTGACCTGATTTTCAAACATAAACCATGCCTTACTCTTGGTTTTATACACTGCATTTCCCAATTCAGAGCCTCAGGGACAAATATTTACGATTTTAAACTTGTGTCAATATTAAAGACTTTGCCAGGCAGTTACTAGACCAGTAAAAAAGATTAGGACATGGATTTTTAAAAAAATAATTCTTGAACTATTACCGTAATGTAGCGAATATAACCCATGGGTTATATTTGTTTTTACAAACCCCGCCCCCGCCTCAGGGTATATTCGGGTGCGGGGTATATAGGGTTTTTTTCACTCATTAGCGGGTATTTTTAACTCACGGGAGGCTGGTGGTTCCTGCGGCTGTGCAGGAATGGGGCGGTGAGTGCTCCTTCGCCCGGAGGATGGTAGTTCCTGCTCTACCTGTTGGGTGTAGGTTATATTTGGGTGTAGGTTATATTTGGGTGTAGGTTATATTTGGGTGTAGGTTATATTTGGGTGTAGGTTATATTTGGGTGTAGGTTATATTTGGGTGTAGGTTATATTTGGGTGTAGGTTATATTTGGGTGTAGGTTATATTTGGGTGTAGGTTATATTTGGGTGTAGGTTATATTTGGGTGTAGGTTATATTTGGGTGTAGGTTATATTTGGGTGTAGGTTATATTTGGGTGTAGGTTATATTTGGGTGTAGGTTATATTTGGGTGTAGGTTATATTTGGGTGCGGGGTATATCCACTAAATTACAGTACATACTCTATCAAACACCTTGAGCTCCACCCTCAGGCTACCAGGTGCCATATAAATGTAAGGGATTAACTAAGTTCAAACAGAAAGGTTTTGCTTTTTAACTGAATCAACATTTCTTCTTACGATAAACTCAGATATAAAAGAATTATTTCAAACTTGGGTAAAATTTAGAAACTTTCCGAATAAGATGGAATATAGTCTAATGAACAAATCTTATGTTCTGTGCATTTTTTAAAGTGAAAAACTGATCTTGAATGCAACACCTGGTTATACCCATAGTAAAGTGTAAGGTCATGTGGACTCAGGGCTAGACCAAGCCATTCTGGCGCCTCGAGCAGACAGTCTAATTGTGCCCTGGTTGCGCCCCCGCACCAGCATGTGGGGGAGTGTGCATGCGTGTCCCTGCCCCCATGCCGGTGCATGGGGGAGGGCGCGCAGAGCTGGCAGTGGCAGGATGCATGTGCCCAGCCCAGCTACTGGCGCGCAGCCCAGGGCAGGTTGAGCCTGGCCGTGCTGGTGCCTTATGAAAGCTATAAGGGGCGCTATGCCATGGGTTGGCACCCTGGGCAGCTGCCTGGCTAGTCCATGCCTCAATCCGGCCCTGTGTGGACTGTCTAGTTTTGCCAGGCTGAAGAGCAGGGTTTTTTTAGTGCTAGCTGCCTCTGATGCTTTAGTTAATGCTGCTTGGAAGAATTGTGTAAGCATCATTGCATGGGGGAGGGGGTTTCACAGTGTTCCTGCACTTCCTATTTTTGCCAAATGGTATAACGTCAGTCTGAGGTAAAGTTACAACATCTTTGCTGAGTTCAAATATCGGTAGCAGTAAACAGGAAGTGGAGGGAGCAAGCAAGTGGGAAATGTTTTGTTTAGACATATTTACAATGGGTTACTCTTAAGATGATAAATGTTTTTCCTTCTCCAGTTTGGATCCCAACGATCAGAAGTCTTTAGAAGGAATGCAGAAAATGGAAAAGGAGGAGAGTCCAACAGATGCAACCCAGGAGGAGGATGTGGATGACATGGAGGGAAGTGGAGAAGAAGGGGATTTGGAAGGGAGTGATAGCGAAGCAGCACAGTGGGCAGATCAAGAGCAATGGTTTGGCATGCAATGAAGGCTTTACTCAAACTGATATGGGTTTCAGTTTTTAAACGTGCCATGAGGTCCATAGTTCTCTAAAGGAAAAATATCAGCGCAACTTTTGTACTAATGCACTGGATTTCTTTATAAAACAAATGACTCTGAAACAATTTAATAGTTTTCCATTACAGTTATGTTCATGTTAGTGATGCTTCCTATTTATCAATTATTAGAATGAGCCTGAACCATGTTGGAAATTATTTGTAAAAGTGGTTCAATCTTTACTCGCTGAAGCTAGAATCTTGAGTATAAAGCATTTTAAATAATATACGTACTACTAGTGACTAAAATGTCAAAATTGTGTTTGCAACTAAGTATTCTTGATCCTTAGCTATAAAATGTAAATATAAGAGTTTTTTATTCCATTGTGAAAGCCATTATTCTTTTGTCTGGGCTCATGCATGAATTCTTGTGAAAGCTTGAAGGAGTCATTCATATGTATTTGAAGGGAGTTATTTTTCTACTTCAGCCAATTAACCTGTGTTTTGTGTAAGAGATTGCACTAGCGCTAATAGTGGAGTTTGTATTTCAGGCATCTCTGACTTGTAGGATGCTTTGTAACTAATCAATTTGTAGTATTCTTTGCTCATGAATGTTAGAATTATTGTAATTTCTCCAATCCATACAAAGCCCTTTAATCATTTAAAACCTGTATGTGAACATTTATTTCTAAATGGAATTCAATTTTATTTAGGTAAGTTACTAAAAGGCCCACCGCAGCAATTACACAAAGGCACTTCACATCCTATGCGTCGCATTGTCAGTTAAAGAAATTAACTTCTCCCATGCATCACTAATAGAAATTTTAAATTAGAATGGCTGTGTCTGTCTTGGCTTTCTTTATATGTTACATTTAAAATTTAGCTTTAGTTATTGCTACCTTATGCTATCTTCTCCTGAAATGGTGGAAGTTTTCACAGCAGCATCTCTTGTTGAAAGTAAATCTTTTACTCAGACCAGAAAACCAAACAAAATTGTATCAATAACACTGAGATTTTTGCAAAAGAACTATCCTTGACGTAGTGTTTTGCTCTTGATTTACTTGCTTTGTGCTAAAACATATGTCTTTAACTCTTTCTAATCGTGCTATAGTTCTCACTGTCTTTAGTCTATGGTCCTGCATGGCCTTGTAATTCTTCCTGTGGCTGCTCAAGTCAGTTGTACTCTTCAGTGCTGTCATAGCAGTTTAAGCAGAAGTAAACAGTTTTTTGTACTGGCACTTCTTTGTGCCCTAGAGCGAATACTTGATACAGACAAAAGAAAACAAGCTTTTCACTCACTAATGTTGCATAGCAGATATAAAAGTAAAATACATTAAATCCTTTCATTCCCAAAAGCAATGGGTATGAACTATAAAAGTACATAATAAAGTTGGGAGAGACACTTAGTCCTATAACACACATTATAGCCTGTTTTGGGATGTTTACCATATCATTGCATTACTGAATCTGGATAGCTTCTTCCTGTTTGTAGATGGATAGCTACCTGTAATAAATATTTTCTTCTTTCCAATCTTTTAGTGATGCTTGAGAGTGGGGGAAACCACTAACTTTTCTCTAGTGTCAATTGAATTGTACTAAAGTAATTGAAAACTAAGCAAGCAGGTAGCCTGCCTTATTGCCCTTTTTATTGAGAAGGGGTTTCATTTGAGAATTTTGTTGATTTCACTAAATAGTGTGCAATTTAAGTGGGTTACGTTTAAACTAAAATCATATTTAAGTAGTGCTCTCTGAGATTGTGATCTGTACCCTTCCTGGCGCTAGTCTACTTCATGAAGAATTCAGAGATTTGTCATTCAGCAGTGAATGGTGAGTAGAGTTCAACTCCTGCATGCTATTAATTTGTTACAGAAGGAAACTGTAAATACATTCAAGTAAAAACCCAGTTATTTCTTTTGCAGACTGTCCATTTTTTCCTTTCTCTGCAATAAACCTCAAATTCTATTCTGTTTCTGAAAGTTAACCTACGTAAGCTGATGCAAGCCTTCTAATTGTATGTCAGATCTTGGTTATGAAGATCATAAGGGAGTGTTTAATAATTGTAACCTGAAGTAAAGCAAAAAGGCTTTTGTGTGTTCTAAAAGCTGAGAGAATGTGGGAGTGTATGGTGTATGTTTTAAATTGGCAGTTGTTCAGCTGAGGGTTTTTACATCAAATGACTCATTCAGATGTCCCTGATTGGAGCTGCTCTTACATCATTCAGCTGCGTTAGCACCATGCATTGCAACACTTTCCCCTAAAGCAAGGTTTACGTGGCACAAGAAACCTGAAGTCGGAGCCCAGTCATAGAATGGTTCAGAGTATTTCCAGGTGGGAAAGTGTGAACATGTCTGTTAATTTTGTCACTTTAGATCAGTGATTCTTGACATGTGGCCCAGGGCTGCATGTGGTCCAGTTAACACACAGCTCCAGCCCAGCTGACTATTAAAGGCCAGCCCAGTGCCAAGGTCCTGGGATCCCAGGTTCCTGCCTGCCTAGAGCAGAGGGGTCCAGGCTGCCCTGTTGTCCAGAGTACTAGGACTGGGTGGTCCAGGCAGCCTCTTGGAACTGCCACAAGATCTTGGACAGTTGCACAATGGGGGACCATAATGTGCAGCTGACCTGCCCCACATGGTTGGAGGTCCCAGGGCAATTGGCCCATGGCAGCTGGGGAGGCTGGCCTGCAACACAGTGGGGGGCCAGGGTTGGGACCAGGTTGCTGCTGCTTTACCAGCTGCCTTGTGTGGCCTAGGTAACATGTGAGCGGCATATGCAGCCCACAGTGTATCTATACATTTTAGAAATGGACATCTGACAGTCTGTCTGAGACTATTTGTTCAGAGCTAGGACCACCAAATTTGTTATGCAGCTTTCTCTTCTAACTTAAAGCAAGTTGCGGTTTGGTTGTGCCAAGAAAACGGGAAGTGCTGGGCATGGGCCTGTTTTCCATAACAAAGAAAAAGGAGGGGACAGGGAGAGGAAGGATGTGAAAGGGAAGGGCACAGAAAGGAGGAGCACAATACTGAGAGTGGCCACTGGGGGCAGCAAATGCAGGGAAGGGCTATATGCAGAGTGGCCACTGGGGACAACCGCACCACCACCAAGAAAGTGGCCAGAAGGGCTGGGACTCTGCCATCTTTCCTGCTACCAGACCAGGTAAGTAGCCCCCCACCACAAACCCTTCCTCCCCACCTCTTGGCCATAGCTCCGGAAGGGGGAGGGAGAAAAGCTCCTGCTGGCCAGAGGGGAGATGGAAGGTCCCTGCCTGCTGAGAGGGCTGTGGGAGAAAGGAAGGCCTCTGGCAGCTGGGGGGAGGGGGAAAATCCCCACTAGATGGGACCACCTGCCCTGAGCCCCTCTTCACTCCCCAACCCTTACACTTGCACCCCCATGCCTTCAGACTCTAGCTCCCCCCCCCCCAGGCATATATACACAAGGCCCTGCCCTACTCCTGCACCCCCACACTGTCAGCTGCCTGCCCTGAAGGATCCAGGTAACATCAAGTAAGTCTTCTAGTGTGTAATAAGTTGGCCTATTTCCTTAGACCCTAATAGTATCATAAAACAGCTCCTGCTGGATGGTTGTTTCACTGCAGTGATAGAAAGCATTCGATTATATGTTGGGATGGGTAAATTGCATTGCAGTGTTGCTCATTTCCAAGTAAGATCTTGGCATCCATGTGCAAGCAAATTGTTATTGGGTAAGACTTATGTTAAGATTGTCTCTTATAAGAATGGAGGTCACACTTCAAGAGGAATTTCCTGCTATGAGAAGTTTCCTTGTAGATTTTCTGTATGGGAAACTGGAAAACTTAATTTAGATCCTGTTTTACTGTAGGATATAAAACAAGGTCAGCATCCAAGAACAGGGGTGGGCAATAGTGTAAATGGTTAACCGATGAACCTGGACTTACTGGTTAACCATCATGGTTACAGGTAATTCTCCCCCTCCTCCTCTACCTCCTGCAATTCCCACCATGTAAATGTGTAAACAATGACAATTTCAGTGGTTGCAAGATTACTTTAACTGGCTTAATAAACTCATTTTAACATCTGGAGTGGGCAGTAAAAAAGTGGTGGCCTGGCAGACTGCTGGTGCTATATTTACCTGCACAGGTATCAGGCCATTACAGCTCTTGCTCATGCATTGCCGTTCGTGGCCAAGGGAGCGGCAGGAAGCGGCACAGAGCAGGCTATTGCTTCCCACTGGTGACAAATGGTCATCTGTGGCCAAGATCTGCAATCACATGATACCTGCAGAGGAGCTAGTAAACAGAGAGCTGGGGACCTACCCTGGCAGACGGGGTCTGGCCAGTATTTGCTCTCCCTTATCCAAGAATATGGCTTTCATTATCTAAAACAGAAACCTCAGCCAGATTCTGTGGTAATCCATTCATCTATCAATGCATGAAATAATGCTAGAGCTGAATTGACCATATGTATATGATTTGCCTAGTGAATGTACCATGAATGAATATGGAATATTTTAATGTTTGTCTCAATTCTGAGAACATTAGTGGACTATTAAAAACTCTTCATTAATAGTCTAATTTTAGAAGGTGAGCGGTTTTAATCTTGTGCTCCTGAAATCTGATTTGTTCCTAGTTTAGAGAACATGGCTAATCCAATTAGCCCATTAGCTGTCCTCGTTCTGTACCGTAATCCTTTGGGGGTGCACACTAGAAAAAATAATGAAACCCCAAACTTAAACTAAAACTGTGTCAAGAGCATGATATAAACTCCCTGAAGTGATACAGTTCTTAGGTGAGGTTGGAATGTCATAGCTACCCAACTGTGTTTTTGCAATACAAATAGCATCTTTCAGATGGCCTGCAGTTCCTAGTCTTCGGTAAAGGGCAAGGACAAAATCCACATCCAACGGTAAATTCCTTGCTGTTAGACTTTCAGTTACAAACTTCCTTAACATCAGCTTTTGCGATGGTGAAAGGGCCCTGCCATTGTGTGAGGAGATCAACGTTCCTTTAGCCATAGAGTGCCTCCTTACAGTCATGTAAGCATTACAAGTCTATTTTTCCAGCACCTCAAGGCAATTTGTGTTGGAGTCAGGCAGTCCTGGAGCTAACAAATAGCAAATCCTGCGGCAAGTTACTTAACATCTTGCCAAATGTCCCTGTCTGTGAAATGGGGATAGTGCTAATTTCTCTGACTCAGAGGGATGAGGGAATTTTTAGCAAAGATTATACAATAAGGAAATCATAAGGTGCTGTCAGTACTATTTACCCAATTAAAGTGTCAAATTCTTTCTACCTTTCCTTTGCTGTCGTTCAAGATTATGGAGAGATCTGTGTAATTGGTAGCTTTCTACTTATTAATCAGCTTCCTCCACAGGCTTGTTTCACATAGTGATGGTTACAGCCTTCCTTTTCAGGACTCTCTGGAGTGGACAGTTAAATCATCTGAGTGGCAGCAGTGTTACTTGTTACACAGAAAACCCTAGATGTGGCCTCAAAGGGAATCCTATCTGCTCTTTGCATTGCCCTTCTGTGTATAATGAGAACAATTTAATTTCTTTGCCTAAACCTAAATTGCAGCAGTTTAATTCAAACCTGTTGGCGGCAAACCCCAGTGTGGACACTTATCCAGGTCTATATCTGAATTTATAAATTTACCAACACAAGTTAAACAGCTATATGCCAAGTTTAAATCAAAGAGAATGGAAATGTTTTCACTAGGTTCATACTCCTTAGTTAGATTGGAATAACTCCACAGATCAGGCCTAATCTTGCTTAGTGCAGATCTAGGTAATGCAGCACCAAAACACCATGAGATGCAGGCGAATTGGGCAAATTGCAGTTAGTGATGTGTAAAATGGGAGATT